TACATAAAATCTTAGATCCTTTAAATTGCCTGCTCTTAATTTTTCTAATTATTTTTATTAAATTTTAGTTGATTGACTCTAACTTAACTAAATTAATAAATGAGCAAAAGATTTCTTTTTTTCTTCTTCTGCTTTTAATTCTTCTAATTCAACTATTTTAAGTACTTATTATAACTTATTTTATTTCTTTTCTTCTTAACCTTCCCATAAAACAACCCAAGCTATTATATTATTTGAATTATACCCTCTTCATCCATATTGTATTTCTTTTAATTTGCTTAGTAGAACTCTTCAAAATCTTATGGTTCTAATTAATCTGGTTAAAAATTAAGTTTTTAACAAACCTATTAGAAAATAGGATTTGATTGTAATTCTTAACGATTTTACATTATATTTTATTTTCATTTAATTATTATCAACTAATTTACATATTGTTAATCAAAAATACATAAAGAGATACATAAGAATATTCAGATATAGCTATAAAAAAGATAAAATTATATCTAAGTTATAAATATTTCTATTTTATAATTGACATTTTTGTTGATTATTTGCATAATCATTGCCATAAATTTTCATGTTTTGGACTTCCAATATGATGTTTATATTGATTGAGGAATTCATTCAATGTTCTTGATTGAGCAGTTGATGAATAGAGTGCATATAATTTATAATGGAAGAAATCTGTTAATAACAAGAATGGAATAACACCTCTATAAATACTAAAAGGTGTTTTCTAAGCGAAAAGATTTGCTGCTATTCTACCTTTTTGATTTGTTTGTTAGAAACTCAAATCAGTACTTGCTAATTATAATCTTGTCTTTATAGTTAGAAATCCATAACCAATAGCCAATAAAGGTGTTGATATCAACTAAGACTATAAACAAATAGTATTACTTATGAAATGTAATCTTCTTCATAGACATTTCTTAAATGATAGATTAATGTTCCATTAAAAGCCAATTTAAAGACTATTCCTCTATAAAAATGACTGAATCCATTTCTTGCATAAATCTATAATTTAGATGATTGATTACTTATTCAATTACATCAAATGCACCCTTATATCTTCCCTAAACATCAGAGTATATAATGGTCTTTATTGTATCAATTGGATAAGTAATCAATTCAAATAATGAAGAATATAGATAATGTGAAGCATATCCATTGCCTCTACTATATACTAATGGATGAGCCCAAACTGTTAAAAATTAGAAAGCATTCAATAATGCTCCTCTAAAATATCCCTTGAATAATCCTTAATTAAATATTTATTAAAGACAAGCTCTATAAATTAAGCAATATAATACGTGTTAGAATCTCCAAAGGTAAATCTAGTCTTCAAACCTCCATATGCTTATCTAAGAGTGAGTAATCTTTCAACTCCAGCAAGGACAGTAAGACGATAGAAATTGTCAGAGAAAACTTCCCAAGTTTTAGGGTCTTCATTAAATTATCTCTCAAATTTAGCCCTTGGACCTAAATATCTAAATAAGTATAAATTTAGATGAAGATTACTTTTATTGTTCTACTCTGACAACTTTTGCAAGCCAATCATGTCCTGGACCACCTCCAACAAAATATTCAAGATCTACTAATTTAGGATCTCTTAAAATTTTGTCAACGAATGTCCAATTAGGACTGTATAATAATCCACTAAGCATTTCAATATCTAAAATAAATATTATTTATTCATAAATTATTATTTATACATATACAAATATAAATTAAACAATCAACATTGTATTTTTATCTAGGATTATATAGGATTTTAGGAAGGGAATAAAAGTAAGAGAAGAATATAGAAAATATATTTAATTTAAAGAGTATTTCTTATATTAATTTTATAATTAATTTTGATTATGTCCAACAGAAATAAAAAATCTAAGAGTCCATAATTGCAGTAACCCAAAAATATTGATAAGGATCTCATGAAATATCTAATATATCAAAAGATTGTTAAACCACAAGCTCCATTAGAATTAATAACTAAAACTCAACCTGATGAGGATTCTGAAGTTGAGGATTTCAAACTAGAAATTGAAATGAAGTAATCTAAAATTTAATCTATTATTAGATATAAGAGTTGTAAAATAAATCACACATTTAAATTTCCTAAAGAAAACTATGAATCTTCATCTGATACATCATTACAATCTTTAAAAGATGTTACTATCTATAATCTAAATTGTGATAATTTGGATCGATTAACAGATGCAACTTAACCTAATTTTATGAAACTATTAAATGAGAGACTTATGAAATTAACTGATCTCATTGTTGATGAATCATAAGTCAAAAATAAGTAATACAATTATGCTCCTAATTTGAAATCTTCTAGGTTTATAATTGTAATAATTTAGAATGCAGAAACTAAGAGGAACAAACATATCTAACACTTCTATTACTAAACCTACAGAACTCTCCTTAAATGCAGCTAGTTAAAGTCAAGGAAGAGAAAGTGTTATTACAAAACCTCCATCTAATCTCGGCTATAGAGCTACACCTACAATTTCATCTGAAAAGAAAAATAGATCTAAATAAATTTAATAAATCTTAAAAATTACTTAATAAAAATATATGAACAATCAAAAGTAATCATATTAAGATTTTATAGCATAGGTGGAACATTTTATAAAAAGACACCTTAAGTAAACAACAATTATATCAATATCAATTCAAATATCAATAATAGTATAGTAGTCACAGGCAAAAGAAATATTTAAGATATTCGTATTAAAACTGAATAAGATGATTCAGAACCTAGTTTGCATCAATATTAAGTAGTTCCAAATTCTAGGTAATTATTTTTAATTCAATTTTAGACCAAAAATGAGAGAATCTACCTTAAAAAGTAAAAAATTAGATATTTCAATTGGTTATAAGAATATTACATTAGATAGTCAATATTTAGAAACCTATAGTCGAAATGCTAAGAGTTAGAATAAAAATTATAAGGTTTGATTGTTTTAATATTATAATTATTATAATATATTGTTGTTGTTTAATGATTTTTAATCAATTCTCAAAAGATAATGAAAAATAATCCTTTCCCAGTATCAAATAACAGAAATTTATATGTAGAAACCATTAACAAATTTATTCATTGCTCTTGTTGTTGCAATATAAAATTAATTTCAATATTCAAAAGCATAAATATTACTTTTACAAATAGAATTATCATTTTAAGAGAATTAATTATTTATTTATTTTATACTCTTTCACATTTCTATTTTTAGATTGAAACTGCATTAATAATTTTGATGGATTATAGCTCATTAAGCATCATTAGATTTTGATTACTACTAATTGAATAGAAATCCAAATCATAGATAATGACTAATTATTTAAAAGAGAATTCTTTAAGTCAGTAAATTAATGCTACTCTATTTACAGTGATTTGCTTTTTATTCATTGTTCGTAAGTCTATAATATCATATCTTTAGTTGTATCTTATTGATGAGTATACGAAAAGCTTAATGTAAATCAAATATAAATAATGATCTAAGTGTATCAGAAGACTTTATAGCTAATATGATTAGTGATATATATTCTACATTGTCATATAGTATATATAATAAATTCATTATTTATTTCAATATTTAATATTGATTTGAAAATGTATATTATGATATGATAAAATAATGTAAATCAATTTGATAATTTTAATGATTAAGAATCATATTAGATAGAATTTAAAAATCAGTATGATAATTGAATGATTGTTTTACCAAGTTTAATATATTATCCATAAAAACGGATTTATAATTAATAAATGAAAACATTTATCACATTGACTCTTTTGTATTTGACAATAGCCAAGTATTAATGATTATCATATATAGCTAAGGAATATTGTCCACGGTTGGTGATCAAATACATCCATTTTAATAAGTTATTGTAGCATTATCAGAAGTGGCATCTAAAGACTTTAATTTCTAATAATTATTTGTTGCTTTAGATGAATTGGCTGAATCATTTAAAGCTAGAAAGAATGAAGAAAATGCATTTTATGAACAAGAATATTAACAATATTAAGCAGATGTACAATATTACTAAAATTAAATTACAGATTTTAAGAATAAGGTATTAATTTTATAGTTCATCAGATTGCCTAATTAGAAGTTGATGTTAAAGATTTGATTGATGAAAGGGCAAGATTATAATAATTTTTGACTGATGCCAAATAAGATCTTTATGATGCTACAAAATTATTTAATGCAAAAGAAGCATAAATAAATTCAGATAAATCTACTTTTACTAGATAATTTAATGAATATGCAGATACAATTGCTGTATTAGATTAAGCTATTGCATTATTAAATGAAGTTAAAGATGAAACATCCTTATTATAAAAATCAGAAAATATCAAAGAGATTTCATCTAAGATGCACACTCAGTATTATTCATATTTAATAATAGTCTCAAATAACTTTCTTCAAAAAGAGTTTTCTATTAACCATTAGTAAAAGCACTCAGTTAAATTGCATAAAATAATTATGTTGATTAAGAGAATCTTAATAAAGTTATTAATTATATGAATTAATTAAGACAATCTTTAATTGATGGATAAACTTCATTATAAAATTAATTTGATGCTCAATCAAAATTATAATAAGATATTTTATCAGAAATCCAAGCAAAAATAACTGGAATTAGAGATATCTTAATTCCTTTATTATAAAGTGAAATTGAGACTAAAGATGGTGAAATAAAAGCACTAAATGCAATACTTAATGATGCAAGACTTAATTTGGCTGAAGCTGAAGATAATCTTACTGTAACATAAAATAGATGGATTGAAAGGTATAGAGTGAATAAATATCTATCCTTAGAACTGCTTCACATAATTCCTTAATTTAATAATATGATAATGAATTATTAGCCATTAAAGATGCTGAAAATGCCTTAAAAAAAGGAGGTATATTTAGATAATGATAAACAAAATTATTCCCATAAAAATATTCATATATTTATTAATAAATTTCGTTAAAATTTCAATGTTGTATTCTATTCGTGAAAGCGAAGCTGAAGGCAATATATCAACAGATTCATATACTGCCAACAAATCTCTTAATCAGGATACTATTTTTACAAAAAAGAGTTCCAGTAAATCATTACCAAAAAGACAAAAAGATTTAGATTAAGAAATATAAAATTTGAATAATGTTATAACTTAATTGAGAAAGGTAGAAAATTTACTTCTCAGTTAAATCAAAGATCTAAAAAATTAATTAGAAGTTCAATACAAAAACTCTAATAAAGATCAAGAATGTATAGATGAATTAAATAAAGAACTTAATCAATTATCAAATAAATTACATCATGAGATTATGCACAATAGTTAATAATAAAAATCTAATATTGAGTTACAAAAGTCGATTCTTAAACTTGAACAAGATCTAATTACAAGTAATTAAAAAAATTAAGATATTTCAGAAGAATTGCAAATCATAAAGTATTATTATATTAAGGAAGATCTAAATATTCCCATGAACATAAATTTGTTGAATCATTATTGCATATGGTGATTAGTTGCCATCCTGAAAATTCTTTTAGAGAGTAGCCATCATTAAAGTAAGCCTGGAAATGGTTGAAATCCATTCTATCTGATTATTTATCACTCAAACAAAAAACTAGAAACTATTAAGAAGGCTCTAGTCAAAGTTCTAGTTCCACAAATAAATGAACATAAAAAATAATTTTTCCATTAGTTCATTATTATAATATATTTATTATTGATATTCTATCATTCTAATATTAATATTGTATTATAAATCTCTCTTAAAATATTATTAAAAATAATGGATTTTGAATTTAAAATAATAAAATTGAATTAAAATAAATAAATAGATTTATAAATAATTATACAAAAAAATAAATCATTTATATTAGAGAGATACTTATATATATAATTATTATTCTTATTTTATTAAAAATTTAAACATTATGTAACAAATAATCATTTCATTTTTCTATTTGGTTTATTAACGAGTAACTTTGATTTCTTTAATCCAAGAATCTTCTTTTTTTATTTTTATTTTTAAATTTTCTTATTCTCAATATTTCTAAATTTAGGTTATTAATCTTCTTCATTATATTCTTATTTAATATCAATTGATTATTCTTATTCTTATTTCAATTTTGATTATTCTTTTTTTAATTTATTTATTTTATGATTTTCAAACATTTTATCTAAATATGGTAATTTAATAGTGTGTCTTCTCATTCCAGCAAATCTAGCCTTTGCTTCTTTTCCATTTTTAATTGTCCAAATTTTTTCTTCTTTTTTTTCTATCTCTATATCTTTATATTCAGCACAATAAAAATTGATAGCTTACAATCTTTATGATAAATTAATTGATAATGGTATTCTTACATTTTCAATATGATATACTCTAAAATATATATATATAAATAAACCTTAAAAAACGATCTATGCTAACTGTGTATATATATTCTTTATTAAATGCTATATCTCTTACAGCTCCAAATGTACCTTTAATCATTCTCTCAAATTTAAAATCTTTCTTATAAATTAAAATTTCTCCTCTTTCATTAATCATATAATATTTTTCATTATAAGCTCTTATTAATTTTATTTTAGTTTTTGAATGTTTTAATGAATGCTCAGAAACTGGTTAAGATTTCTATTCAAGTATACTATATATTCTTAAAGTTAAATGAGTTGTAATAACACCAACAGAATAATCATCTAAAAATAATCCATCATAATCATGCATTTTAACTTAAAGATCTAATTCATCATTTTTTACATTTCTTGATTACCATTATAATTTTTTCTATTTTAAATTAAATATTGATGGTGGACCACCAAAATAAGTTATTAATAATAATGTTTAATCATTAGAAATAGCAGCAGAAGTTACATATTTATCTTTACAATTAGTTAAAGGCTAAAAATCATTTGAATTAATAGTTTCTTATTAAAGAAATATGTTTTGATCTTAATCATATTTTACATGATTAATTTTTCTGTTGGTATAAATTATATAGATATCATGATTTGAATCACAAAACCCTTTTAAAGGTGATGCATCAATATTGATTTGTGTTATTTCATTTAATTCATTATCCAATAATACTAAGCTTTCCTCCCTCAAAACTAAGAAAAAGCTAACATCAGATATTTTTAAAGTAAGTATTTAGATTATTTTATACTCCTTTCCTTATTCTCCATATTTCTTAATCACCTCTTTTTTCTCTAAATCAATTAATTTCAATAATCCTGTTTCATCACCAGTAATTATTTACATTAAAATATATATAACAAATATATAATATTAATTATTTTTTTAGACAACCAAAAATTCACAAATTTATGCTAATTCAACTTGCTTTTAATATTGCAATAATATAAATAAAGATTTATTCTATCCAAAACCAATTTAAAATATCAAATTAAAAAAAGTATTTAATATCCTACATTATTTTTTTTTTGTATTCATATTAAATCAATATAGGTTTGATTGTTAATATGGAACCTTACTCTAATTTTTGATATCGTATTTATTTAATAAAATTTGAAATATCCCATAATATAATGAATTCTATAACTTTGATAAATAATAAAATTAATATCATAAGAGGATGATGAAATCATTAAAGAAGGACATCTAAAATCTATATCCATAATTTAATATAGTAGAAGTGTTACGATGTAATAAATTCAAAAAAACTATTATCCTTAAAAGAGTTAATAAACCTTACATTTTAAGGTTATACAGTTTAGAGGAAGTTAATAAGAACAAAGTAACTTCTTTAATATAATTTATTGATAAACTATCTAAGGCATTTAATCCTCATATAGTTAAATTTTATGAAGCCTCACATGATGCAAATAATACTTATTTAGGGTATTTTAATATATAATTTAAAAGAGTAATAAGTTAATATCATGACACTCAATATTAATGTCCTTTAAATGAATAAGAAATACTTAATGTTCTAATTTAGGTATTATAAAATGAAATTATATTTTAAGATTTGTTCAGCACTTGAATTATTTCATCCTAAGAATCCACATGGTAAAATTAGTTTATCAAATATATTTTGCTCTTAACAAACTACAATATTGGGAGAAATGAATATTTTATATAATCTTCATTAAGAAAATTATTAAGATATATATTTATTAGCTCCAGAATTTATAAAATTAAGAATATATGATAGTAGATCTGATATATGGATGCTTGGAATTTTGGTTTATTAATTAATGTTTAAAGAATAGCCTTTTAAAGCAAATAATATTAGTGTTTTACATAAATAAATATTAAAAGGGATTAAATTTACTTATCATCCATAATATAGTCTAAATTTAAATAATTTATTAAGATTATTATTGTGTTATGATCCTGAACTAAGACCATCTATAAGTTCAATTAAACTTTTTGCTGAATAAGCCTTATTAAGCCCAGAAAAATTTGATATTTTCTAAATATTACCAAAATATAAGGTTGAATAAATAATAGTACAACAAAAGAAAAAAGAAGAGGAAAGACACAATGTGAGGGGAAATTCAATTTATCTGAATGAACAAGCTTTGAAATATCCTTCATTTAAACCTTCAAAGATTTTAAAATCAGATAAGAAAATTAAATTTACAAATCCCTCTCCTCAACATTAAGGAGAGAACTTTAATAATAATGATAATTGTTTAGATATAAAATAATAATTTCCAACTTTACAGATGGAATAGATAGAGAGCAAAAAGAATTTATCTTTTACTGAAAAATACTCTTAATCATCAAAAAAGAAACTAAATTTTACATAGAGTTCTTAAAAATAATAAAAAAGAAATTAGGATTATCTTTATCCTGTTTAATTACCTAAAGTTTTATAATATTCATTTAGTAAGATTACATTTGGAAATGAATTAAGTCCTATGAAATAAAAAGATTAGTATTATTTATTTATATTTTTTAAGATAAATTGGATTTACAAATAAATTAAATCAATATTCAGATAAAAATTTTGAATCTAAAATTACTAGATCTCCTCCAAAAATATTAATACGTTCACATATTGAATCAGCTTCGAGATCTTTCAGTTAACGATAATGATAATTTATGTTTATATTTAAAGTACTTCAAACTTGCAATGATTAAAATGAGTTTGTTATGAAATTAAATAAAATTATTATAAAAATAAATAAATTAAAATTTGCTCTAATTTTAATTATATTTGAGACAATTATATTATTTTAATAAAGCATTTATTGAATACTAGTAAAATATAATATTTAATATTATTATTAAATAATTAACATATGATTTAAGCTGATTCAGATTCAAGTAGAAGAGTGGCATACTTTTATAATAGATTGATAGGAAAATTTCATTATGGTAAGGAACATCCTATGAAACCTAAACGTATCGCAATGGCTCATAGCTTAATAGTTAATTTTGGGTAGTTGAAAAATATATAAAGATAGACTCTATAGATCATTGGATGTATATTTGATAAGAGAAGCATAATTAGAAGAGTTAAAAAAGTTTCATGATCCTGAATATATTACTTATTTAAGTTAGTATATGAGTGACAATAAGGTAAATTTTGTAAAAGAATATTGTTCAACAAATAATGATGGTGTAATACCTGAAAATTTATTGGAAGAATATAGATTAATAACTAAATGGAGTTAAAATAAAAATACTAAAAATCTAAATGCTGAATATAAAGTAGGAGACTCAGCAGATAATCCTACTTTTTCAGGACTTTTCTCTTATTGTTAATTCAGTGCAGGTGCAAGTATAGATTGTGCACATACTATTTTAACTGGATAGGCAGATATAGCAATTAATTGGTCAGGAGGATTACATCATGCTAAAAAGAAAGAGGCTGCTGGATTCTGTTATATAAACGATATAGTTTTGTGTATTTTAGAGTTATTAAGAATTTATGTTCGAGTATTGTATGTAGATATTGATTGTCATCATGGTGATGGAGTTGAAGAAGCATTTTATTTAACAAATAGAGTTATGACTTTATCATTTCATTAATATGGAGATGATTTCTTTCCTGGAACTGGATAATTGAATTCAGTAGGATTAGGAGTAGGTAGATATTATGCAGTTAATGTTCCATTAAAACCAGGAATATCTGATGGACCTTATTTAGATTTATTTAAGAAAGTTACCAGCAGAGTCATGGAAACTTTTCGTCCTGATTGTGTTGTTGTATAATGTGGTGCAGATTCTTTGTCTTTGGATTAATTAGGAGCTTTGAATTTATCTATCAAGTAAAAATTAAATTATACTATTTAAAAGAGGACATGGATAATGCATTACCTATATGAAATAATTTGGAGTTCCATTAATCCTTTTAGGAGGAGGAGGTTATACAATTTAAAATGTGTCTCGATGTTGGGCTTATGAGACAGGAATATGTTTAGGATAATCTATAGATGAGGTATTTAAATTATTAATTAAATTTAGCCTATTCCAACTAACGATATTTATTACAAAAATTATCGTGGAGATTTTCATTTACACTTTCCAATTCAAGAAAATGTTGAAAACAAAAATAAAGCTGAAGATTTAAACAAAATTGTATCTTAGGTGTATGATCATTTGAAAAACTTAGAAAATGCACCAGGAATTCATTTTCATGATGTTCCTTATTCATTTTATCCAAATATGGATTTGGAAAATGATGAAGACAATAAAATAAGTATTATTTTTAATAATTATTAATAGATATGGATATGAAATAGGAAATATCTTTAGGTGAATTAGAATAAGAATTAGGGATATCTGATGAAGCTAATGCAATCTCAGTTAATTCTGGTTCTAGAAAATTGCATTCAAAAGAAATATGAATTTGTTATATATATATATATTTATTTATATTCAAAATTTTATCATTATTTACTATCATCCTTCTTGTCTAACTAAATGATTATGATTTCTAATATATTTTTAATTAAAAATAGATTAATCTTATTTAATAAAAATATTTTAATCTTAATTAATTTTCAAAATCAGAGATATCAAATTCAACACATTTAAAACTTTACTTATATTTCTATAAATTATTAATTTTTAGTGATAAATTAAATAGTTCTTAAAATATATTTATAATAATATCTTATTTTATTCTCCTGTATTTTTGTTAATAAATCTTAAAGCAATTAAGTATCCTCCAAATATTTCATAATATAAAATCTATTATAAAATTTACCCTTAATAATTTTTTGATTTTATAAATAAAATGTAAATAATAAAAAAATTTATGATTACCTATATTCAACAAAAAATAATACATTTTTCTAATTTTCTGTTTTAAATATAGTATATCATTCTTTTAAGATTTCAGAGCTCTAGTCTCCCAAAAATCATGTCAACTTCCTATGATTGAATTAGTTATTACTTGAGGATAAGTCAATATTTATTTCAGTTTTTAGTATCTACTTAAAAAACCTTTAACATTTAAAATTATTTAATTTAATTAAGACTTTCTGTAGCAAAAGTATAATGAAATTTAGTATTTTCTCTTATTGTTATAGTGTAACTTTAATTTGAATCTAAATTATAATAAATATTTATCTCATACATACTTATACATTCTTTTTTTGAGTATAATCATCATAAAATGAATCCTTATTGATATTTAAACCATATATATATGTTAAATTTAATTTCATATTAATAACTTAGAACTTAGAACTTAAAATTAAAATAATAGATAAACTTACTTTTATTAAAACTCATTATTATTTGAATTATACAACTTAAATCAATGAAAATGTATCATATAACTTAAAAAGAATAAAGATCTTACAAATTTCTTAAATCAAATTAAGTTTGAATCAAGAAAGCCAGAATCTTAAAATCATGTGATCAATAGGGTTACTATATTAATAAAATTTAAGCTATTTAATTCAATTAATTTTACCTTAAAGGAGTTCCTATATAATTATGATATAAATTGCAATTACTAAGATTTAAAATAATAATTTTATCTGATCTTTTATCATCCATCAAACTAAGAAATCAAAAAATAATATAATCATATATAAAAAATAAAAAAAAATTTAGATTAAAGATTCAATATAAACTAAGATGATTATATCAAATTTAATTAAGTAGTATTAAATGATCAATAAAAACTTTTTAATCATAATTATTGGCACTATTTTAATTCTACATTAATTATATTTTAAGTAATAATTAATTATGTTTATCCATTAGATTATAACATAATGCTATAAATAGAGCATATTCAAGATTCATACTGTTAAATATAAATAAATTAATATATGTATACTATTTGCCATCATTTAATCACTCAAGCTTATAATTCTTGGTTGATTCTTGCTTTTCCATCTTAGGTCAATTGTAAAATGATAACCAATTTCACTCTTTTTCTTCCTTCAATATCGGCTGTGAAAGAATTAATTTTAGATATTGTAATTAAACCTAGAGGATAAGATTTTTAATACCTTATCTCTACAAATTCTCAGCTACTCTAACACTGATCTTTGTGGCTTCACCTAATGCATGTAATTCAACATTATTGAATTTCTTCAAAAATATTTTAGCAATGAAAATAAATTCCTTTGCAGTCTTCTTTGATGAAACATGTAATTAGTTATCTGTTGGATCCAACTTTTATTTTTAAGGTCTTTAAGCCTATTAAGAGTTCATTATTTATTTAAAAAAATAAATATCTAATTTTAATATAATTGCAATATAATTGGAATATAAATTATTAAACCTTCTATATTTTATAATTTGGACATATTTATTTGCTTATAATCATCTTTGCAATCAATTTTACATTAATCATTATATTTTCATCCATCTAATCATCTTGAAAGTCAAAAACTTAATTCATGTTCAATATCAATCACTTAAAGCATATATATAATACTGTATTAATGATTTATGTCTAAATTATTATATTCTTACATAGAATAACATGATAAATTATAAAATTATAATACGTGTAAGTTATTATGAAAAATTAAAAAATTAAAAAAAAATATGGAGCAACCGAGCTTCGATCTCAGCGCCTCATGCATGCTAAGCATACGCTCTACCAAATGAGCTATTACCCCACGTTCAAATATTCTATAATCATCATCTACATAAAAACCTGCATTTTTTTAAGTTAATGTGTTTTAACAAATTTTCAATATAATTTAATTAATAATGCTTTTCAATTAATTACATTTGATCATTAATTTTCATTTTATTTAATTTAATCTAAAAAGAATATATTATTTCATGATTTAAACTATTTTTTTTATTGATTGGATATAAAATGTAATTCAAATTTAAATTTGACGGAAAAATGATTAATCAATAATAATTTTTGTTTTATTTTTTTTCCCTCATTTTAAAATAATGGCTCGTACCAAAGAAGGTAAAGAAATGTCAAAGAAAAGTATTGCTAAAACATCAGGAAAAAAAATGAAATCTAAAAGAAAGGAAAGAAAACCACATAGATTCAGACCAGGAACAGTTGCTTTGAAAGAAATCAGAAAATTTCAAGAAAGCTCTCGTTTATTAATAAGGAAGATTCCTTTTTAGAGATTAATAAGAGAGATAGCAGGAGTTAATGAAAAAGAAATGAGATTTTAAAGTAGCGCCATATTTGCCTTATAAGAGGCAACAGAAGCATTTATAGTTAATCTCTTAGAAGACAGTGTTCTTTGTGCACATCATGCCAAAAGAATGACTGTCATGCAAAGAGATATCAATTTAGCAAGAAGAATTAGAGGAGATGAATTTTGATTTTATTTCATAATATATATTATGATACCTTCAAACTCATGATTGTAATAATATCAAAGATACAATTAAACTATAAAATATCAAAAGCATTTGCAAAAATGAGTATCAAAATCAATCCAACAAATTATCTCTCTTATTATATATTTCCTTTTTACACCAAGATCTCTTACTCTGGTATTAATGATTTCATAATGATATCAGATTTAAATATACTAATTGCATTAATTTCAGCACTTACTATAAATGTTCCATTATCTGCAATTAAATCTAAAAGATTAATTTAATTAATACTATCCAAACTACATCCATTGTCACTCCCATAAGCCTTAAAATGAAGAGATTTATATTTTATATGTTTCTACTGCATTTACTATGGTGTCAAGATCAAAATGCATTTTATTTTATTTATTAATCAAAATTACTTATAATGAATTACAACTTATAAGTAATTCTCATATTCATTGCAAATACTTCTTATTAACTTTTCATTAATAAAGCAATTTTGTTTTACTTTTATTAAGTTAATTTTATCTTTAATTAGAAAAATAAAATTCAATTTATCCTTTAATTTAAAGATATTAACAACTTTATTCATAAGATATAAAAATAATTGCATTTACAATAATAATCATAATAAATCAATAAAAGATACCTTAAACAAAATATTGATATTTATCATACCATTTAGCTCTCCAATTATCTATAGATGAATTAATAATACTATAATATAATTTAAGAGATTATACTTTTAACAGATTATATTTAGATTTGTATTATCTTCATACTAAAAAAATCTTTCTTCTAATTAAGTTATAGATTTATCTCCTCTTTTAAAACAAGGCATATAATTCTTTTATCCAGAATACCTATAGAATTAATTTATAATTATTTACATCATTTTTACAAGTAATAAAATTCTATCACTATGTTTTCTAAGAGCCATGAAACCTTTATAAAATAGTTCTCTGAATTTTTTAAATAAATCACTTTAAACTCCACCAAGTATTTCTATATATTCACTTAATAACTTAAATGGAACTTTATTTTCAATTTCGATTCCCTTTCCTGGTGCATTTCCCAAAAAAAATCCAAAATCTATATGAACTAAATGGCCATCTCTTTTTAATAATATATTCCCATTGTGTCTATCTTTAAGTTATAGAATATAACAGGCAAGAGAATATCCAACTAAGCTATGCAGGAAATTGGTTCGATGACGATCACTAAAGTTATCACTAATAATCGAACAGATATACTGATTACTCGAAGAATTAGGCTAATGTTTATTATCTATTCCATAACTATCGTTTTAATGAATCAATTGTAATAGCATCTTTCACCATTTCAATTAATCCATAATTGGGTCCCAAGGATATTACTTCATAAATTGATAATCTCATAGGTAGATCTTCAATACTAAAGATTTAATCTATAGTTGATAAAAGTTGCATAGCAAACTACTCCTATTTTAAATTATCACCTGATTTCACAATAAGATGAACCAATCGCCAGGATTTAAGATTACCAAATAGAGATTATTCTTTAATTCTTTACTCTTAATCTTTTGCTGATTCCCCAAATAAATATTGTCCTTCCTCTCCAAGTAGGATACTTTTTTATTTTATTTCATTTACAAATGAACTGGCAACACTTACAAAATCTTCATTATTTTCTTTTTAAAATGATTAATAAACACTCTTCTATACAACATCTTCATCATTATCAGGACAATAAAATTATACAGTTGGTGTTTCATCAATTATATCTTCATCAATAATTTATAGAGGTTATTATACTGAGATATTATGAACATTTGGATCTAATTATAAATTTATCAAATACATTTTGCTTAATCAACATGAATAGACCCATATATTGACATTTTCTATTAGAGAAATGATTTATGTAGAGTAATTGCTTCTGATTATTTTAAATCATTCTGCTAATCTTTTTCAACATCAGGTCTGTATATTTCTAGACAAATATAGAAAGGTGATCTTTCTTTGGTAGAAAATACTTTGCTTTCTGATGCCACTATATTTAAGACTACATAATTTCTTATTTAATCTTTAACAAAAGGTATGTATACAGAAGATGGTAGATTCTGATTAATTCTTTGTAAATCTGCCTTTAAAGATATTATTTATGGATAAGCTAGATATAGTCTAATTAAATATTTAATATACCTTTCAGATATACGTATTATATCATTCCAGAAATTGATAGTAGAAGAGAATCCTTAATTTAATTCATTAGTTTATTCATCTCCATTTATTGAAGTGTATTATTTTATATTAATTTCAGAAGCATTAAGTTTAGGTGTAGATTAATCATATCCTGCAGTTCCATAAATTTAAATGACTTCTTTATAAGGATTATGAGTAACAAATTCTTATCCATTTATTAAATATTCATCTCCATATTGTTTTTTCATTAAATTAGTATATAGATCCAAAAATTTTATTACTTCTTTTAAATTTATGACCTTTTTATTAACAATTTATGATAAGGATTTTAATTAAAAGTATGTTAAATGAGCAAAAAAAAAGTTATTTTAACATACATTTATTAGAAAATTTATTAATTCTTTATGATTATCTCTAAATACCAAATAATTGATAAATTATGGTATATAATATTCCAAATCATCTCTTTTTTAACTCAACCAATTTGGATTCAATCTCACCTTTTCTAAATTAGTTTTAATAACTTCAATATCCAAACCACCTTTATATAATTATAATAGCACTCCATTAGTATTTAATACATCACCCTAAATAAAATAATATATTACTTCATCATCTATAACATGATTTGCAAAAAAAGATTCTGAATTTCTTCTTCTATTCACTATACAACAATAATTAGTATCATCATTTATATTAGAATAATTCATGTCAATTTCTTAATTTATTTATGATTATTTGTATAAAATACATTAGAAGTTCTATATTTATTCAACTATTAATAGATTTTATTTATATTAAAATAATCATATAATAAAAGTAATCATATTTGATTTGTTAATAATTATAGAATATTTCCAGTGTTACTTCTTTTATTTGTTTTTTATTGAGACTTTTATTTTCTGCAATTATAAGCTTTACCATCTAATTCAACAATTCTTCTTTATACTAATAAAATAAATCAATAAATTTTACAATTTATAGTTGCATAAACTTTTGAGGTGAATTTTTCAACTTCAAATATTTAAGAACATACTATATCCATACCAAAAGATAGATAGATATGTAAATGTTCAACTTCTAGATTAGATGTTACTTTCTTATTTTAATTTAAACCTCTCTCTGTTTTTAAATCTGAATTTTAATTATTTATTCTAGTTTTCATTTGATTAACTGGAGATGAATTTACATGTTAAGATTTCTTATTTGTATTTGCTATAGTTTATCTACATCTTGGTAATACTTCTTTAGAATCCTTTATGAATAATTAATAAATATTTTTCTATTTGTCAAAAACATCAAAATTACTAATATGTATTCCATAATTTACAATAGTACCATTATTATATGGAACTATCTTTTGTTAGATATTACTTTTATTTTATTCATCTAAATCAACTAATTAAAGTGATAAATTCTTTGCACTTTTTGGTTTGACTACTAAAATATGAAATTAATTCATTAAACTAAAATAATCTGGAAACATTTCAATTAATAAACTTTAACCAATATTATTTGCAGATATATCAAATTATAAAGGCATTGTAAGAAAACCCTTTTTTGCTGCTTTAATAATAAAACTTCTTAATTCAAGATTCTAAATTACTATTGTACCATTTTTATTTGTTTATCCAACTATCTTACCATCTATACTAATATCAACATTATCAAGAATAGATGAATCTATTATATTCTTACTTGTAATTTTTAAAATAGTTTTCTATATTTTAATCATCTCTATCTCCTATTTATATTCTCCAAAACCTTTTGTTATTAAAATATGTTATTTAGGATAATAATCTAATTTCTCAATATTAACAATATATTCTGTTTATGGTTTAGTCCAAAATCTATATTCTCCATTAAAAATTATAGGCATACCATTAACCATAAATTTATCAGCTTCTATCAATTTCCCTTAATGAATCAATTTATATTTGGCCTATATTATGTCATTCCTTTCCAATTCTATGATGTTTTCTTTGAAATTTACTTCTTAATGTACATATTTAAAATGTTTTCCTTATACATCAATTACATAATCATTATTTAAAGGTAAATCTTTGAAATTAATAAAATTTGATGTAAGTTTCTTATTTATAGTAATCAATTTAGCTGGAATATGAGATTTATCATTTATTTATAATTTATCTTTCTAAGAGATTGTGATAAAAGCATCTTCAAATAAATTATTTAATTGACCACCTAATGCAATTATATCTTAATTATGACATATAAATTTAATATTAATTGTTCCTCTCTCTATATAGAGTTTCAATAATTCTAAAATATGTTAAGTATTTGTAAATGGTTTATTGAATAATACAATCTTTTATTTTTAATTGTAAAGTTAAATTTAACACAATAATTCAGCAGATTGAGATATTCTTTTTTCTAATATTGTAATCCATGGATATTTTCTACGTACATTATAAATTAATTCTTAAACATAATGTTCCACTTTTATTTCCTATTATTAAAATGGATCATAGAATTGATCAACAGTGTATTTAATTGATATTATGGTTTCATTTTAATTTAATGTCTTAAATTCAGCAAAATCCTTTTTAATTTATAATTATCATTACTTCAAATTCTGTTTCATCATTAATTCTAATGATTTCTTCTTATAACTACTCTTTTCGTAATTTAACAAAGGTATATGTTTTATCTTATGAAAATGAGTTTAAAGTATAAAATTTAGTTAGGGAATTTTTCATTTTTTTTTTATTCCGTTAATCGAACAATTAAAATTTTATTAATTAATAAATACTCAATAACAAAATGATCTCATTAATCATAAGATAATAAATTGTTTTAATTCTCAATTATTTTTAAATAATCAATATCTTAATAACTATTGAATTACTTATTGTAAATAACAATAATATTTATTGAAATATTATGAGATTGAAATAAAAATAAATATTTAATGGATTTTATTAATTAATTAAAATACTTTTTTCATCACAAATTAAATATACAACTTAGCATACATTTTCAGGTGTTGCGTTTTGCACACTTGTTTAGACTTAATGTGAAGATTGTTAATACAATTTGTGATAAATACATTCTCTCCCAAAACCTTAAGGCTGTATTCAAAAACTTTGATTAACTTCATTGTTGAGGGCGCTTCGTCACCTTAAATTGAATATATTTGAGTCTACGGGAGAGTATACAC